AGACCCATGTAGCGCAACGCTCTACTCACCTACCTTCCCGTGAGGCAATTTATTCTCAGACGTAACGATTACGACTCGTAAAATACCTCGGCCAGATAACGCGAAATTTTACGGGACTCGTCAAAGAAGAAAATAACCCACCTTCTCTCTCTCTTTCTCTCTTTCTTTCACATACACTCTCTCCCTGCGTTATCCCCTCCCGCGCCAGATTCCAGAATCGCCAGAATCACGGTTCGCTCGTTCATGTTTTACACGCTTTTATTACGTCACAAATAATTAACGTCGCATATTGAGCGCGGTCGTGGAAAACACGCGGCACTTTTGCACGCAAACTCCACATAGCAGCGGCATTTCGTTCCAGTCAGTTCAGCTGCCGATTCGCGTTTACGAACCGGATTATACGTAGGAACGCGTAACGCGCGCAGCAGTCGTTTTAGCGGCACTAAAATCTCGGCGAACCGGCTTAACACACACGTTGCAGCGCGCGAGCAGTTCACGCACTCCTGTAGAACCCGCCAATTGTTCCGTTAGGTCCCGCGAGCGCCCGAGCACAATTAAAAACGAAGGCACGAATTATTCCCCGTGAGTGCTCGCGCTCGCGGAAAGGAGAACGTAAATCACTCGGATTCTCTCTCGCGTCCCGCCGTTACCATTCGCTTTTCTCTCTGTTCGCGCGCGCGTTATCTCTCGCACGCGGTTGTACCTGAATTTCAAGCGATTGTCGGCGCGCGTTAAATCGAAGCGACACATCGAAGCGAATAAAGTATTTGTTTCCGCGTACGATGTAGAATATACGAATACATTATTCGATGAAGTATCGGAGAAGAAAAAAGGAAAAATAAAGGAGCCTGTTAAAAGTCGACAACCCGAACGCAATCTTCAGTTGAACCGTGGTTAATTAAGTTGGCCACTACTGCGATTCAGCAAGCTTTTTAATATAAGATAGAAACGAAATATCACGATTTATTCGCGGGCTACACAGCCCGCATCGACGTGCGCGGTCTCTGCTTTATTTGGCACTTCGCAAAGCAACAATTTCAGAGCTCAGTTCAATCTAAATCCTTCTATGCGCTTCTATGTTTCTCCTTTTATGGTTATTTTCTACAAATCAGGGGGTGGAAAATACCAATAAAAACAACTCCTCTTGCAGTCTGCAAGAGTTGCAGGTTACCGCGGGCTAAAAATATGAAAACATATACGTGAATGAACGCTCATAAATGCATAAAAGAATGCTTTGTGGTTCGATTAAAAAAGATATCGATCGTCGCGAATTTAATGTACACTGCGCTGTAATTCTGCTAAAAGAGATCGTACACGAGATAACGCTCCTTTTTTTCCTGTCTTTCTTTTTAGCGAATTAATCAACCTATATATTTTTCAATACACGGTTATTTACAGATTAGTCAGCATTTTTGTATCATATGTAATCGATAAATCAACATCTATTCCTTTCAGTGAATCTACCGCGTCACCTCAGCGATTACTTTTCACTTGCATTTCAACTTTATAACTATTTACACTAGATAAGAATCGCGTATATGGATAAACGAAGGAAAAGAGAAGACAGAAAAGAGATTCAACGAATTTGAAATATCGCGACTATTGCGAGGGACATTTAATTCTCTACTCCGTTAAGCTCGTACTGCCTTGATCGGATATTAATAAATTGATAGCACTGCGGCCATCGAAATGTTTCCCGCGTTCACTTAATCCGTCTCGCCGTCGATACATCTCCGCTACATTTCAGCCAGTGGACCGGAAAATTCACAGAGAGCCGCGGCAATAAAATCGTAAAGATGCGTAAATAAATTCCGTTTGTGTGCCTATCATCGACATCGACGCGAGATACGCGATATACGATGGTGTAATAATAACTCGTGTGTATTGATAATAAATATATTTCGCACAAATTAACGAAGACACGTTAAATTAGCCCGAGAAAATTATTTGCAGTCGCTCATTAAGCGAATATTATTTCCCGCTTAACACTCCTCGGCCATTAACGATGTATGGGCCACTACAAGAATTTCGTAATGAACCAGTCAAACTATGTATACACAACGTAATAATAACTCGATTAAATGGATAATGACGGCGTTGCTCGTTCGAGATCCCGTGATGAATCGAGCCGTTCCCTAAAAACGAAAATAAAACTCGCGACGCTGCGACAAGAGCGAGCGATTAAAACAGCATTCTTTAAGCTCTGAACCCTTAATTCTCATTCGATTAAGGCGCGAGCCGTGAAGACTGAAAGAGACAAAGGTAGACGTTGCCGAAGACATTTAGTCCTCTCCCTGAGCGCTCCCGCATAATCGAATCAATAACGGATGGGTAATTCCCTCCGTCGACTGGAACGAATTAGATCAGTCATGAAGTTCCGGCTGTAAAGACACGTGACGACGAAGAATCGTTTATCGTAATCGTAATTTGCGGACGCGTTATCGAATGCAGCCGACCGTGTCCGCGGGAGAATGTGTGAGTGAATGAGTGAGAGGTGATGTACTCGCGGTTCGTATGAAATCGCGGCATTGTCTCTCCAACACAAGCTAGTATCAAATACCCGGGCTTTCGACACCCGTGAAGAAAATCAGGGATTGACCCGGCTGGACTTCGGGACCGTAAGAAAGTACCGTAACGCGCTCCCGCCAGGATACACGTTAGGTCGTTCACAGACCCGAAAGATTCTCCTCCAAGCGGTTTTTCAGGGTTCACGTAAGAAATTGCCATGCCACGGCTCTTAGACACCGTTTACAACGCTTCTTGCGATTCACCGCGAAAGAAAATCTGCCAGAGTATCACCTATTTCGCTTGGATCCTCTCTTGCCCGTTGTGGGCGACTAAAACCGCCAATTATCGCTGTCAAAGGGGGATATGACGGATGGATTTTTGCGTGAAGGGAGAAGAGGATGAAATTGAAAACGCGTATTTTCCTCATCACCCGCGAAGGAGATTGTCTTTACCCACGATGTCGAGGTGACCGATATCCTGCCCTGTTACTGCACTTAACAGACGCTCCCCGCGGAAATTCTAAGTATATGCGAAACAATACATAAAGCGCGATGGAGAAACGTCGCCGGGATAAAATACACCGCGAGTGTCTTGGCCCGCAACTTTCCAGCGCCGTGTCGTTCGTTGCGGCGAAGCCACCTGCTCACCATTACAGTATAATTGTACCTTTTGTGTTTCAAGTATCCGTAAAATTTCTGAGTGCTTCGCAACCTGCGGCTAAACCTCCGTGCGGTTACTAAGCGTGCGAAATAAAGGGTCAAAAGGTTAACCGGCTGCAGCTTTATCTCGCGTCTCTTTATTCTTTCGCGTTTGCTCCGTTTCCGAATATGGGGGAATGTGTGGGGTGAGGGAAAGAGGAAAGGATTTTTCTCCTTTATTCGATTTTTAACGTGTCTGAGAATCGAGCACGAATGTTCGTCTATTTGGAATATTTAATACCATTTAATAATTAACAGAAAAGAGCAGGGAGGAAGAAAGAGGGAAAAGATAGAGAAAGGGAAAAAAAAAAGACGAATTTCCGTATCTATTATTTGACTGAATATCGCTCGTTTTACGATGCCCTTTCCATCATCATTCCACCTTTTCCTATTTTTTAATTAAAGTACATTCGCTCCCGATTCGAGCTCGCCCATCCCTCGCTTCTCATCCGACAGTCTCGATTACTTGAAACTTCGGCCTTCCTACGGTACTCAAAAAGACATTATTGCTTCGTGTTAACTTTAAAGTGTTCGCATCCGCTTGGAGATTATTGCGCGCTCTTATGCTTTCACAACGGGTACAACAAGATCGTGCTTTAAAACAAACGCGCTGTAAATCCACGAGTGTCATGTATCGCGCGAGAATAAATCTGTCACGATAAAGAGGAGGAAAAGATGGAAGAAGAGGAAAAAGACTAATGTTCGAAATGAAAATTTCTCTTCTCTCATTGCGATTAAAACCAAATATTCGATAACCTCATCAGGAGATGGATGTGTGTGTGGATGTGTGTGTGTGTGTGTGTGTGTGTGGATTATATTGCGCGCATAATATCATTTCACAGTTATACTTTGAGAGATTTCACAGTGTTGAGACGTGTTCCGATAATAAAGTTTACAACGTGTCGTATATACTAGAACTTTGCAGCACTCTTTTTTTATAGCGTGTAAAAAGGAAGAAGGTACAAAGGAAAAAATTCTGTTGCGATAATTGAATACGCTTCTTGCGTTTGGTCAGAGAATAAAGGAAATAAATATTGCAATAAAATTGGAGGACCAGAACTTTTTGTAAATTGCAACATTTTTTTCGCTGATGACGGATGCAATACAATGAAAAAAGGTGCACGCACATTCATTCTTCAGAGTATCCAAACTTTGAATGCGCAATATGTTTATTGTTTTAGGAATGGAGACAAAAACTGCACGACTCAAATAGCAGATGCATAAAACGATTAGTGGGACGAATATGCAATTTACTCGGACTTATGTACACGATGTATTCGCATTTTTCGTGCTTTTCAACACGAATTTCGCGAGAATCCCATTACAGCCGCGCCATTCAAACTGGATGTCGGCGGCTTACGCGAAAATCTTGGTGAGATTGTATCGTGAGAAACATAGATCGAATCTTTATCCGCGCACCCCACATGGCTAACAATGCAAACCTCCTTCGTCAGTTAAAAGATAATCGGTTCGTAAGGACGCCACGTCATTGATAACGTAAACACTTCAAAACATCTAATATTATCGCGTCACGCGCCTCACATATCCGGACAAAATATTTTCATAATCTCACAACCGTCGTGCGTAACAGAAGCGAAGAAATGAGAAAATTCCTTCTCCTTTGTGTCACGCGTTCGTCTCTTTTCTACTTCCTCCCTCTCTTTTTCTCTCTTTCCCTTTCTCGCGCTCGCTTCAGACAGTAATCGCACACTCAATTCGCTCTAAATAGAAAATGTAGAAAAGTGCAGCGGAACCGCGCGGAGCCCCGATAATTCGTTTGTCGATACGTTTCAGAGGAGATAACCGCCAATCTGCCTCCTTTGCGAGTCCCGCGTTTGCGGCATCATCGTGTCACAGATTGGAATCCGTACTTCGAGAATGCAGACGGCCAGGGTATCAACGGATCGCAGAATGTGGCGCTGCATCTTGGCGCGACAGCCCTTCTCGACTGTCGCGTGGCCATGCTCTCCGGCAAAAAGGTGCGTGTGTGTCGCGATGAATCATTCACGGTAATATCGGAGCGACGCTGTTGGCACTTGACAATCTGCCCGTATGTATGCTCGGTCGCAAAACGGTTTGCACACTTCTGATCGAATGGAGCTGCAACGCTTCAAGTTGTTACAATTCAAAGCCACTACTGATGTGCGAGCGTAGAGATCGGTTGACAGCAGTCAAACTGACAGTACAGGGCGTGGCAATGAATTTGGAAAGAATTTACGTTGAAAGATACGAGAATATATTATTTTTAAGTAATTTTTATATATTTTATAAAGTGAAAGAACGTGACGTACGTTGAATGCACATCAGCAGCTGACACAATTGTGACAATGTGAAGTGTTGCAACTTCATTTGATAAAACAGTTTCATCGATTTCACCGCTATTGTTTGATAATCCCGCTTGTAGCAATGTTCAGTCAGCGTCATGTCTACCTTACTATTCTTCGAATCGAGAGTTACACGACTTTCAGTCTTATACATGTATGTATACAACAATAATGAAACAAATGCGATATCAAATTAAAATAGAATAAAAAAATGTGTTTTAAAAACTAGACGTCAAACGATTGGAAATTGCCCAAATAACTCTGGCTGTAATAGTGAGGCACACGCGACAGTGTGTGATGCTCGCAAAATTGACAAACATATTCGCAGGTCATGTGGCTGCGACGGAACGCCGACTGGCCATCCCTTTTGACTCTCGATAACACTACTCATATATCGGACTCGAGATACAGCGTGAGATTCCAGTATCCGAACAACTGGAGACTGGCCATCTCCGGCGTGCGAAGGGAGGATCACGGAGTGTACGTCTGCCAAGTGAACACACACCCGCCGCGGATGCTGGTCACGAACGTCACCGTTCTCGGTAATACCATGTTTTTACGATAAGGAACGGAAAGAGAAAAGAAAAGAGAAAAAGAGAAAAACACGCCGGGCGGTGTGGAGATACAGATAGGGAAGAGAGTTGCCGAAATCGTACCGTCTTCTAAATCGTACCTGATTTCTTTAAATGTTTGTAGTACACACTAAATAAGATATAATCTGAAATTTTTTGTTTCTCATTCAATTTTCACCATCAGATGTCATTACATATTCAATAATAATAAAGCAATTGATGAGATACAATTTTTTGGCTATACATGAAGAAACAATTCGAGCAACAGAGAATGTTGTGCTTATAACAGGAAAACGCGACTCTTAATCACACGAATTAGGGGAACTGATTGTGTGCGCCTTGCCGATGTCGAAAAATTTTATTAGTCGTGTAATAACCTCAGAGTGCCGTCTCAACTCGCCGCGTTTTCTTTTGCATGAGCAATCTTGAAACCCTCATCGATCGATCATCTATCTTCATCGGCCGCGACTTACGTTAAGAGACGACGGCGGCGGCGGCGGCAGCGACGGCGGAAGTTGCATCCGTTTCCCGGGAGCGCATCTCCCGCCGCTTGCAAAATATCTGGCGATACACCAGCGTAACGAGAAATAAACATTTACGGATGTTATCGCGGACAGTGCGGTATGTATTATCCCGGCGCTAGCAAGTCTGAGGGATGCAGTGCGACATCGCGAGCATTAGTCAGCGAGAAACTTGGCGAAATTAGAGTCCCGGGCCGAATAAATAACATCGGCTGAGTAATTATTTCGTGACATGTTCAAGTAAATTTTCTCGATTATATCTAACGGTTTATTAATTATCACGCCGACTTGATAATTCACCTCGATAATTTTCTCATTAATTCGTTATTTATAATATCATTTATTAATTTAACAGTCACCTCTCTTTCGTGTGCGGCATGTTCGTTTGATGCAATCGGGACATCTCACGTGTATGTCGCGTTTCATACGAGCGGGATAAAATTAAATCACAGAATCCGCGGTTCCCTCATCTACAAACATTTCATCAAAGTAACGCGGTCTAGCTGACAATGTATATATATATATATATATATATATATATATATATATATATATATATACATACATACACGCATATATTTATTTTTTCATTCATGTGACTCAGACCTACATGTTTTATTACGCGTGCTGGCCAGCGGGGGTTGTTTTCGAGTTGCACGAATTGCAGGACGTTTGCGTAATCCAGCGACGTCGTGGCGCCGCGACACGCATGCACGCATAGTTTTCCATTTCGCGGCGGTCGTAACTCCACGCGCGCACGAGTCGCGCCTAAAGCCGGAACGGCCGCGAATTTAAATTCCGCCCTCGCGGCGATTCAATTACTGCGAGAAAATCTTGCGGCGTCCCGCGCTCTCGAAAACAAGTCAGCCGCAGTTGCGTCACGTAGAAGCTGCGCGCGCGCGCGCAACGGCGGAACTTTATTTCGCTTGACTTACCTCGTGTCAACGGATACGCCTGTATGCGCCAATATCGTAGCGTGGGCGTTCGCTCGCTCCCGGTAACATAACGACGGAAACTGTTCTCTTACGTCGACTTAATTACGAATGTCGGCTACGTAAAAGCGAAATGGAGCAAGGTAGAGAGAAAGAGAGCAACTGCAAGCAAAGTCCTAACCGAAAATTCACGTTGCGCGGCGACGGTCGTCGAGATTTACGAGATTTGAAATACCGCCCCATCCACCTACCCTCCCGTATCCAGTCCAGCTCCTCTAGATTTTGTACGATCAACATGTTTTACTTTTCGTTAATTAAACTCCGCTACTATAATTCACATCCAAGTGCGACTGTCGAAAGAGGAAAAAAGATGAACGGATATAGCAGGTAAAAAGAAATCGGATAGGAAAGAAGAAATGTGTCTCTCCCTCGTCGACCGATTTGTTCATACGGCACATTTGTGATTTTACAGCGCCGGATATTAGAATCGTCGACGAAGCCAGACACGAGCTGCGAGACCGATACTACAAGACCGGAAGCGGTATCGAGTTATCGTGCGTCGTCCGACCATCCTGTCCCGACTCGAGAGTACCGTATCCCGTCTGGCGGAAAAATGGTGAGATGTTGCCGGATCACGTCAACGTTTATCACGTTAATGGGTGAGCATAAATCGTAAAGCGGCGATGGATCGAAGAGAGCTTCCAGAGATGGATGTATGGCCGTGTCTCGATTTGCATGTGCCCACGCATACTGTATGTTGTACGTGTGCGTGGGCGTTGTCTACACATAAGCGCGACGACATAGCGCCGCTCTTATTCCCCGCGAGCGCAACACCGGCATTACCGTCGAAAGCCCGCAGGGTGTGCGCGTTGACGAGCCTCGATACGCTTTGTGAAATGCACCTGCCGCGATTGATCTTGCTCCAGACGTTGCGGCACACCCATACAAACGCCCACGCGCACGATTGAGAATTTATCTTTCTTTCCGGCCGGAGCGGACTGTCTTCTTCGCGTGAATCTGGTGTCGTCACTTTTACATACGGCGAGCACGAAGCTCGAACCCATTCACCAATCGCCGTTCGTTCCTTCGGAGCTTGCGCGTGAATTATAAAAATTATCGTCACGAAAAGAATTTGCGTTATGCGCGATTTTTCATTCAACGTCCATGTCACTGAATCTGTCGAGCCGGATATATATATATACATATATGTCAGAGAGGAAAATATATTTTAATTATATTTTTGTGTCCATTCCCCACATGTCCTTTATATACGCGCCGGTAAATGCGTGAATATCTAAAGAGTCAAATCCATTCGGCCGCCCAAGAATTATGTATTTTTGTGTAATTGCATATTCCATCGCGAAAATGTAGCAAAGACCTACTCTCTTAAAGCGAATCAGTGAATAGTCATTGATATCAGTTATGAGTACAGCACTGAACACTTTCAGTCCTATACTTATAACTGCAATCAGTGTATATTCACTTTCAGTGATGTTTGACTAATTCATTTTAAGAGAGTACAGGTGACACGCGAAAGAATAGCGCTCACGACGGCACATTGCATAATACAGCCACCGGCTTTTGCAGATCGAACGAGGACGTGATAACAAGAGTCTACATCGAGCGAGCGAAAAAGACTGACAGCGGAGAGTATACGTGCTCAGTGAGCCAATTCAGCACGACCGCGGTGCACATTCACGTCCTAAATGGTAAATGAAATAAAAAATCACCGAACAGAATTAGCGCGGATAAATGGTGTTATATATGCCGACGCTCGGGAATGCGTATTGTCTGCAAAATTCGTGACTCATGCCATCCGGACGACCCTATAATTCGAAATTCAGCATTCTATTTAACGATCTCGCGAGCGATATGCGATTCGTCGATATGCATACACGCGTTTAAATGCGTATACCTCTAAATGTAATATCGATTTTCTTTATCTTTTTCTTTTATGTTATTTCCCTTGCTTTGTCTCGTTGCTGATAAAATACCGTTGCAAATTTCAACGCAAATTACAGATCATACAAAGTGGATTTCCCCATCAGACGATACATATAATATTCGTCCGTGTAATATGTGTGTGTGTGTGTGAATATGTATATATACATATACAAATTTATATATGTGTTCGAAATATTCAGCTGGCCTTTAAAATGGGATATTTTTTCTGTGTGTATACATACATACATACATACATAGAGTATCCCATTTTAAATAGGCCAGTGGAATCCAATCCAATCTCGAACATATATATAAATTCGCATTGTTGATAAAAATCAGCAAAGTTGCATTTTTATTGCAAAATAATTCCTAAACTATTGCACTTAGATTATACACGTCTTAAGAACTTTCCACGCAAAATTAAACAACGTTTTTAGAATCTGCTAGAATTTGCTTTGTATTTAAAAAAAAATTAACTTTCATTTAATACAAATGATCATAGCTGAAATTTAATATCACCACCTTTTCCCCTTTAAAGCCCTATAAATTCTGACTGCAACGTTTTTGTCTGTCGAATTCAGTTTTCGAGATATTGATCTGTTTAAAATTAGATACCCCGTGTGTTTGTGTACATATATGTGTATATACACACACACACACACACACGTGTGTGTATACATATGTATATTACAAATTATAGGGCTGATGTGTTTTTTATTCACCAATTTGTCACCCTTTTCAGGTGAAAAACAAGCTGCGGTACATCACGACCAATGGAATGCAGCGCGCGCCGCCAACCATCACGTGGGTTTCGCCGAGTTTTACGCGGTGTTCGCCAATTTTCTCCTTCACATGTGGCGAAGTTATTACTCCCTGTGAAAACTTATTTTTCACCGTCGCGCGCGCCAAGTTCATATATCGCGCGCGAGTGTCAACCTCGATGATATTCCCATCGATATCCGCGCGATAACGTGCTTCAAAGCGACCTCGACGAGATACGAGTTCTCACGATTCATTCGCTCATTCATTCGTACATACACGACGTCATTACTACATGAAACACACGAACTGTGAACACTGAATGAATTTGTGTCAGTATTACAACGCTAAATAAACTGAATATCGATGTTCAAATAAATATTATGCTTGTGCTTCATTGGTTCATCTCTTCTTTCCGAAGCCTAACACTGGCAATGTGATCAACGAACGTGTATCACGACATTGCATTTGTACATCGTTAGCATTCGCATTTTTTTTAATAAAAGAGATTTTTAATGTCATTAGAAGTTGTGTGTGCGTTCCGGTAGAAAACCGCCTGCAAAGCGAGAGCTTTTCTTTACCGACCGATGTATACGAAGTTCGCAAAAGCTACACGAGAGCTGCGTGATCATACCGCGATATAGGTACCAATAGTAGAGAATTACTCTGTTTAAATTCTATCCGAGATTCCTGTTTTGTCAGTTCTAGGCAAAATACGAGCACTACACAATTATCTTTATAAATAAATATATAAGTATTTTTTTAACAAAAAATTAACTTTGCTGAGTCGAAAGACAAAGTTCTCGCGATATTTCTGTGAAGAAAGTTACTGACCTTAAAGATTGCCTAAAGGTATGCGCGTTTTATCACGAATTATTTTTAAACGATCCTCTTTACATTGAAGAATCGCTGGAAGAAACTCTGACGATGTAATAAAAGTCCTGTTGCCGTCCGGAACAAAGTTCGAAGCGAGCGAGTGGCTTGTTAAAAGTTAATACTGCGTTAAAAGTTTCAGTTCGATATCCATCATCATCAATATTATAAATAGGGAAGCACGCCGTAAAATCTGTCTATCATGTTACCGAGAGTACATCGGCCGCGCGCGCGCGCGCGTTCGAGTAGGAGGCGTCTAAATTAGATACGCTTCTCAACGTTACATTATCGTAACTCCACTCGTAACTCTGTGCGCGGTTCACACACACACACACACACACATACATATATACTATATTTCTTTGTAGCGGCCGTAATCCGCGAGCGGCGCCTCTCCGTGCAAAACCTTAGACAAGTAAGTTATGGAAGTTCTTTGTAGTTAGGCATAGAATGAACAGGTGTCTTGCGCAGAAACTTAAAGGCTCGTGATACCGACCGCAAACTCCCACGAAATTTATAGTATTGCAAAACAAACAGCGATCTCCACGAGCGATTAACGCTCCCGTTGTGCAGTCGCGCGTTTCACAAGTCGATGGCTCCTCGATCACGACCGTGTTCAGAACGTGGTATCCGACTTTCGCCTTGTACTTCTGCACGTTTCGAAAGTGCAAATTCGACGAAATTTCATTAGATCCCCGATCAGTGCTCCAGCTCGCTTAATTATGAGGAATCAGATCTAGTCGAAATTTAATTACGAATAAAAACTTTGTCCGAGTCGAAATTTTGATCTCTTTCGATCTCAACATGACGTTTATTCTGATATTCTATGTCAATCTCTTATAATTCTATTTATTAATTTTGCCAATAAGACTTCTTTTAGAATTTACAAATGGCATTTTGTGCGTTTTTTGGTGTTAAATACAACTTTAGTTTCCATGAACATCAAACATGCACTCATCCTTCAGAATATACAGATGTTAGAAAGTTGGGCCAAAATTTCAACTGGAGCATTAACGAGCAGTTAGGAATAAGCGGAACGGTAAACAACATACGGCGCCAAGCACAAACGCTATTGTAATTGCAATTGTTGCATAGCTCCAGTGCGCTATTGTGCTCAATGGAATCTCGTTGAAAATCCATGAGATTATACACGCGATTGTTCGGCAGGAATCCGCCATTCGATGATGTTGCACACGCAATTGCGCGAAAAACTCGAGACGCGAATTTTTAGCGAAACGCGATCTCGCTTGCCCAAACGTCGTTTTCGTACGAACGTAATCTCGTTGCCGTTCGTGTGTCGACGTGCAGCTACGGAATCCTCGGTTCCGTCTCTTTTGGCTGCACGAAATTTTGCAGCGCATTAAGCAACGGACTAACGCGTATCGATCAAAGATATCAAGAGGCCACCGACCCTCTAGCCCTGGCCATGTTTTCAACCTTTTAGCCTTAATGGCGCCTTTCAGATCCACTTAAAAGAATGTTTATAAAATATGATGGGCGCGGCTGAAAAGTTGGACGATAGTGGGCGAAAGGAAGGACAGACACGGTCGCGGTGCATGCGACGCGGCAACGACATCCTATAAGCTAGCTTCGTCAAAGTTTATCGAAGAATTTATCGCGACGACGGCGAGGTGGGATACAAACTTTTATAACGACATATAAATCGCTAGTCGTCCTCGTCCTCGTCCTCGTCGTCGTCGTCGTCGTCATTGATCGATCGATCGTACGGTCGATCACTTCCTCGCGACTCATGAATATTTTCAACGACATGTATTCCCGCAAAATAGGGTCGCGGGTCTCGGTACGTCGAGGTCTTCCGCCTATATCGAAATGCGCTATTACGAACATTACGTTGAATTAAGGTGACATTTTTAAGCACATTAACGTGCTTAAAATTTTTGTTAAACCTCGCAGATTCCACTTACGCGACGGAGAGAAATCGTCGCGGTATGTTCTTAGCAAAACAAAAAATCAAGGTCCATAAGTACCCAGACCATTAGTTTGGCCTGATCTGTTCCCGTTTTGGTAGTCAAACCTTAAGTTCGTAAGTATATTATGTAACTTTTAATGATAGTGTAGTTATCGTTACATTATCGTTGTGAATGTGTAATATATGACAGAAAATCTGGGCAGTGACTCTAATAGAGACCAGGAGTTTTGGTTACTGCCTAGTTTCTGGCCAATTTAGGCGACGCTTCCATTGTTAGTAACTGGACTGGTAAAACTAATCAGCTAATTTCTAATCAAACTTATCTTTGTATAAAACTGTCAAATAGTGTTCATCGTTCGATTCTACATTGTAAAATATTGTTATATATCTACTGGCTCGCGTTTGATTGACAAGGAACTGACCAGGCTTGACTCTAATTTTACCAAAACGAACACAAATCGGACTAAATTAATGAATCAGGTTGGATCGAATACTATTGAGTTGTAGCTCGTACAAAACGTTCAATTGACAGCGCGACGGATCGCACGGTAAAAGATAAGACGCTGATGGACGCGCGCGCGCGGGCGTCCATTACGTTTGAATAGTCTTGTCAGAGCTTTCCGGTACGATTTCCGCGATTACTGACGGCGTATGATCCGCGAAAGGTGGTCCGGAACAACGTAAATCGTCTCCCCTAATCGAATCGTTAGGAACGAATCGTATCAGGCAGCGGGCTATCGATTTACCGCGCAAAGTAGTCCGATGGCAACGCATTACCGTTGGCTGTCGTCCGTAACGAACGGATGCGGTAAAGTAGAAGGTGAGGGTGAGCAATTATAGGGATTAGGGCAAATACATTGACACAAAACTTTCCACCGGGCTCGTCCACATCCAAAATGCGCATCCTATAATTAAATTCCGCCGATCAATAGGGATCGGTGAACAATTTAATCGGCAGAAAGGAAGGAAGGAAGGAAGGAAGGAAGGAAGGAAGGAAGGAAAGCAGAAAGGCAGGGAGGATTCACGGAGACAATTCTTTCTCGTGGAGATAAAACCGAGATGTGGACATATCTAAAATTACTCTTCGACGCTTCCCGCGATCAGAGAAGAATGGCTGGCACGGCAACGACAAATCTATCGGGAAAAAAATCTGACTCGCCGCGTTTCCTGCTCGCTGATTTTTGCGCGGACAACTCAAGCGCGACGATCAGATACAGCGGCAGGTCGTTCCCTCGACGTTATCAAGTGGATAGAATTTATAGATCGAACAAACACCGCAGATACTATAATTATATCTTGCGATGTCGCTATTGTGCTCTCGCCTTAATCGACGTATCGTGCAGCAACTACGCGAGATTATACGCGAAATTATCCTGCCCAAGCAAACGTTTCCTCTGGTAAATTTATCCCCGGCAGTCTGACGACTTACAGTCTCGTAAATTACTTGTCAACGTGATGTCTGTATCTGTCGAGCAGACTACGGCGTATTCAATCCTCCTCCTCCTCCCCCTCCCCCGTTGCTCGCAAACTACTCCTATTTTCTGTAAATTATTCCTCAATGTACCGGGATTAGCACAATACGGCCGGTTGAAATACATTTCAATGCCGGCAGACAGTTTTAATCGCTACCTTTCAGCAAGTCTCAGTCCCTGCTGCCCCCTCTCTCTCTCTCTTTCTCTCTCTCTCTCTCTCTCTCTCTATGCTTCTCTCGACGTAAACTCATGGGACCAAAGCCCCAAGCATCCGACCTCCATAGCGTTCTTCATAACGCCGTTTATTCGCGTTCCTTACGACTCGATGAGAACGTCTTTCTATACGGAGAACGCGGAGTAATATCATTCCTGTAAGAACGACACTGCAAAAACTGCAAAATGATATCATTTTGTAAGATACTTATTCCTCATGGAGAGTCCAAATATGCAGATAATGCAAACTTATAAACTTGGAAAAGAGAAAGGAAATGACACGAAGCATACTTCATTTCGACCGAAATTACACGACGAGATGGATTTTAAGATTTGTTTAATTTCCAACTTTGTGACGAGAACACACGTTTGGTCGGTCGCTGCACTCTTCTTATTTACGCGCCCGCGCTGCTCTTATTATTAAATTCCTCGACCATTTAGATCGTAGATAGCAGCGCATTTTGTAGGTAATGCACGGCAGAGCCGCAATTATTATATTACTAATATACGGTCCGGCTGGCCGGTTTACGAGGGAACGACTGTGTCCCTTTTCGTCGTAATGCGTGCACGGACCGCATTGCGATTTAATACATACACAGCAAATGGATATCCACGGAAATATACATACGGCGGCTCGAGAGAGAGAGTATGTACATGATACAATCATAAATAGCCGCGCTTTCTCGCCCGTATAATTATTCTGTCTGCATTCATAAAACGCAAAAAGTTCACGCCGGTAATGTCAAATGCGACGGTCGTGCGCTCACGTCGATAGCGCTCTTTCATGACGTTCCAGTGAATCATTAAAGAGCAAGGATAGTATCACACTCAACCGCGTGCTGTGCGCTATTAATGAGACATAATCTCTCGATGC